GTTCCACTGTCCTCATGCGGGCTGCTAATTGACAAGATTCACATGCAAAACGACATGCTCTATCGTATGTACATGTATTTACATGGGTATATATGTATGTGTGCATGTGTGACATAGTTTATTGATTAAAATTAAATTATTGTAAATTTTGTTGACACACACAAATTAAAATGTCAACAGCTAATATGAAAGAGTCGCAAATGATTCGAAAAAAAAGTAAGAAAGCTCTAGTCGAGATTGCTCGACTACGAGATCCCCTGAACCCTTCGGGCATCTGATATTCCATTAATTATTACAAATACACAAACGCACTCGCACACACAGGCATACGCTCGCACGCATAGTAATTTAATAACTTTTTTATGGAAGGACTATCTTCATGAATCTTAGGGATTATGAGGGTGAGGGGGTGGACGTAATGGTGGGGGTAAATTTTAACAAAAACCGAAATGTTATAAAATTCATCTTAATATATTATTAAAGTTTCGAGATTCGAGCTCTAAATATGTTGGTGATATAATATAAAACCTAATTTTCGATAAGGTTTTTTATCGATAAAACATTAAAGGGATGAGTTAGAGAATTTAAGCCTATATGGAAAACATGCATATAAGTACACTTTATATATACTTTTGATTCCATTGCAGATAATGGGTCTCTGGTACGGCAGCGAAATCATAATGCACAGTCAAGATTTTCCGGGCGTGTACGAGTATGATTCGTGCGTCATCATACATCTGACCGATGTTACTGATCAGGTGAGTTCAAATATTTTGTTTATGTTTCGCATATTTATTTACCTTTTCTTACAGGTGCAAGCCAGCTACAACAACAATTATGGCTACAATGGCTACTACAACAATCGTCAACAAAATCAGAATAATTATCGCACCCTAACTAGCACGCCCACATACCAGGAGCACGACAACGAATATAACCGTCGGGCGCAGCAGCAGAACATGAGGTATCTGCGTCTCGTGTGGAGCGAGCGAGACAACAATCTGGAGTACACATTCAACTACACGGCAAATGCACCGAATGTCTGGTCGAATGTTGGCGATCAGCGCGGCAGTCTGGCTACCCTGAACTCCTACACACAGTTCACAGGCACCGTGCAGGTGGGCAAGGCGGTCAACGATCACCTGGTGTTGACCTTCTGCGGCAACGACGTGAAGAGCTCCATATACACCGTGGTGCTCACACGCAATCGTTTGGGCCTCAGCAATGAGGTGAGTCATAGTCTTAAGCATGGATAGTTAAGTTTAGTTAGCTGGCATAGCAATTGCTTTCATATTGGGCCTAATATACCAGGCTCTATGCTTTTTATATTAACTGAAAAAGGTTATACTCTATGAATAGAGTATTTTACAGTTAAATTTGCTTACTTCTAGCTATAAATTACATCCATATTTCTCTCTACCCTTCGCTCTGTCTCTCTTTTCTTTCTCTCTCTCTCTAGGAGCTGCGCAGCGTCCACAACATGCTCTCCCGCCGTGGCCTCAGCACGGAGACCATTCGCAAGGTCTGCAGTGGCTCGGCTCGCCTGATCGTTGGTCTGCCGGCGCTCTTGCTGCTGCTGCTGTTGCCGCTGCTGGCCGGCAGAGGGCGTTGCCATTGAGTGGGGCCGTCTGGTGCACAGGAACTGCATTCCAGCCATACTCTATGTTAATTTATGCCTAATCGACTTACTTAAGCCACATGGAATACAGTCCCAGCTCGATTAACCAATTCTCTCTAGTTTCGATGCCTTAATTGCTCTTGTCTTCTTCCAATTAAACTCAATTAGTTAGCTAACTAACCGCTGCCCTCTGCTCTTCTCTGCTCTCTGGACGTCGCGACGCCTAACTGTGTGTGGGCGTTAAGTGTGCTCTTAATTCAATCATCAAATCGTTACAAACATCGTTTTCTTCTAATTTTTGATTCCCACGTTACGGCCGCAAAGTAGGCAAGGAAAATGTCAAGAAAACAAACTGTTCTCGCTTTGTAGATAGGAATTTACTGCTTGCGAGGGTAGTGCGAAAAGTTTAGCATACACGAGGGTAGTCTCAAACATTTACCATATAACAAAAAGTATATCTATATACGAGGGTAGTCTCAAACATTTACCATATAACAAAAAGTAGATCTATATATATATATGTATTTTATATAATGAATTAAAAACATTAATTTCTTTTAACTATTTTTCTTTTCTGTTTTTTTTTTTTTCTTTTTAATATATAAAATCATTTTTGTTTCTCTTTTATTTTTGTATTTCCTTTTTAGCGTTTACAATTTTCAAGAGTAACCTCGTACATATAATGAGGACGGATCTTAAATAGATAAAAATGTCTTAAGAGTTTATGATATCATATATCAATATCATCTAGCTGATTTCCATTGCCAAGTCCATTAAATGCCTAAAGAAAGGAATTAAGGTAAGTACAGAGTATCACGTAGTCTAGCAATTGTCTAGATCTTAAGATATGTATTGGTTTTTACTGGTTTTCAAGATTAAACTTATCAAAATAACCGAAAACCATGCCCTAGTAACAAGCTTTCGCCGTCAAATCTAATCAGAGATGGAAACAATTTTCCGCTTAGATAGACATCTTGCGAGGTATATGATACATACACATATATATTTATATGTATGTACCCAATATCTTATCGTTAGGCACACGCGTTTTAAGGCTATAGTCTGGCGAGTTTTATACTTGTTTTCGTTTGCTTTCTATTTATAATATTATTTTCCTTCTTTCGTTTTTTGGGGACTGTTCCGATTCGCTTATCACTTATCGCTCGATTATTGGGAGGTTCATTTTCGGCCAAAGATTCGTAAACAAGCGGCTACCTTCCATGTGGAAAGTTTTGGTTGAATTGATAGGCCCTTGCAGCACCAGGAGACAACGTGTCGACTCTTATCGGCCCAGAGGGCCGCCTACTACAAATCGAATGCGAACCCCCAGCACTCAATGGGGTTCCACCCTTGAACTTCAAATGTTTTGCTGTTGTTATTGTTGCTCACTATTTATTATTTAATTCTTTATTATTATTATTATTATTATTGTTGGCATTAAGCGCACGCTCTTTCTAGTTTTTTATGATTGCTTTTTTATTATTTACTTTTTTTTTTCACAAATTGACTAAGCAGTTCACTTGAGCCCGCGACGCTCTGACTGCATTGATAAGGTAAATAAACAAAAACAAAGGCAACGTCACACGTAGACGGCTCATGAACAATAATTATACATGATGTCAACATAGATATACCTAAGGCCTGAACACGCTCTGAACAGCTGCTCAAAATCGAGGGGGATATGAAGGAAGGCGGGAATGGAATGGAATATCTGCAAATGTCTTTGCTTAGTGGGCTAAAACTTTCCTACAATTTCTTGGTTGTTTATAGAAAGTATGAGGCCCTCTTGTAGCCAAAGTCTATAAGTCTAATTGATTAAGATCTACAGAGTGTAGAGCTAGGAACTTCTGTTGTAAATTGATCTTGCAAAAGAAGACAAGAAGCACCTAACACAGAGCTCTTAGCACAAATAGCTGGAGACAATGAACCTATGATATAACTCTTAAGGCATAGCTCTTCGGCCAAAGGTACTCAGATAACGGCATTTAAAGAAAAATCGTGGGATAAGGATAGTTAATTAAAGATTCATAGATAAAGATCTTGAGTAAACGACCTGAAAGAAAAGTTTATGATTAGATAGCTCAGGAGTGACATCTAGTCTGCTAAATATTTAAGAGTTGGAGGTATCCGAATAAGAAAATCAGTAGACTAAATCAATGAGAGAACTTTAGTGGACCATAACTGAAGGCCTTGCTAAATAGACAGTGAGACAAGAGTTGACAGGCTATGAAGGTATACGCTGAACTGCTATTAGATTATTCTTACATAGATCAAGTATGCATATTATTTAATATATACTTCATATAATATACATCTGACAGATCAGTTTCGCATTTTAATTGAAACGTCAGAATGTAGATCGAACTCACGATCAGTTGGCATGTTCAAGTAATCAGAAATTAGGTCAAAATAATCCTCTGATTAAAATCTGAAACGTAGGCGTATCCGTTGATAGCCAGCTCAACCTGAAGCTGAACTGAAATGTTATTCAATAGACTTGTACACTTTAAGAGCAGGTCTCTGGATTCAATTGAAAATCTGATTAACACCTGGTGACACCTGCTACATCTATGGCAATATATGTATAGATCCTACGTTACATGTTGATCAATTACTATAGATTGAATGATTACGATTTGAGTAGGTCTATCGGTCTATAGGGATAGGAAAGAAGACAAGCTAATGAGATGAAGGATAAACTAATATATGGAAAATGTCAAAGATATTGAATTATTTCAATAAGTAAAGTTCTTGGTATTGATTGATCAGTAGCTTAACAGTTCACTTAGCCTTAGTCCGTTATATAGAATCAATAGAGTGTGAATGCAAGCGATAGCATATGTGTCAAGGATAGATGCATATCTGGCAGTGCATTTCATATAGAGCAGCTAAATGCTTAGACGATCATTGACAGACGAGCTGCATCAGCTCTCGAGAATTCACATGTCATTCACATCTCCGGGATCTTCGAGTCAGCCTTTGGCAATCGCGTGAATTGTCGCTTGGCGTAAATTATGTCAATTATGCGAGCTTTGCGTCAGTTGTAGCACAGATCTATATATATAGTATTTAGTCGATGACGACTTTGCACTTTGAGCTGCGCACATGGAAGTCAGACCCAGAGCCAGAGCCAGATTCTCGGTCACCTGTGCATTGAGCTAAGCAGAATGTAAACAAAACTGTGTCGCAGTTGCAGCGCTCCACTATTCATACGCATCATAAACTAATCAATTAATAAAGCCAACTTCAAAGAAAAGGAAAACACAATAAATGAATGTAAAAGCAAGCGATAAGCGAGAACTAGACAAAACCACACAAAACACAAAGCCCAACAAAAAAATGTTGATAAGCCGTTGAGCTATAAAAGCAGCGGCGGTTGCTACACAGCTAAACAGAAGCGTTTCGCTAGTCGAACGATCTGAACGAAAAATACCAAATATATACGAAAAAGGAACTATATACCAACACAAACATACCAAAAATGTCTGCTGCAAATAAAGTGAATTACTTGGTCGGCGCTACGTCGCGTTACATTGCCGGACGCCACGCCGTGCAGACGGTCTACTGGCGCACCTCCTCCGGACCCGATTCCCGCATGCTGAAGACGAAGAAGACCTGCGAGTTCGATCGCAGCTCCAAGGCGCCGCAAAGCGTGCGAATGCAGCGATACAATCGCAGCTTCATCAACAAGGAATAGCAAAACCCGCCACGAACAAAACTTATATAGTTCCTACATTGTATATATATTTCGATTAAGGTATATTTATTCAACAACAAAAAAGAAAAGAAAAAAAAAGCAAGAACACAAATGAAATAAACTTAGAATTAAGCTGAAAAACTAAATAGTCATTCGCTTACGTTATTTGAGAACTGCTGATAGGATTGCTTATATGCGTCATCGAGGCGAGACTTTGAGCATGGGTTCAAAGCATGTCGAGCGAATGGCATGATTGGAGGAGCTGTGTCAACGCCTCTGGCACAGTTAGATAGCGTGTGAGTGGGCCAGAGTGTAGAGCGCAACTGTACTTTTTTTTTTAGAGTACCGAGAAATTGCCTTTGTAGTACCTGAACTGCTTATATGGAGCTGTTGTTGAAGATTGAGGTGAGTGCTATTCAGCTTTGACAATATATTACTGAGTCTATCGTAGTACTCTATGTAGTCTATATATTATATCAGGAATATATGTGCTATATACTGACTTGAAGTATCTGATATATTCTCGTTGAACTCTATCTACACAGCTATAACGAAGCTCTACTCGTTCCGGATAAGTACACAGTAAGCACATTATCTCCGAATTTCAAGTTCATGCAGTCATCATATCACAAAATCAATACCGAGTCTATATAAATATTTAATTTGATTTATTTATTAGAGGCTCGAGCTAATATAAAATTAAAATTGACAAAGTTAGCCACTCGCACTTTTCTGAGTTTCCCATATACTCAAAACACATTTTCCATTTTCTCTTTAATTTATGTATTTTTATTTAGTTTTTATATTTATTACATACATTGAGTTCTCATTTATTTATGTTTGATGTCGTATGTATATGTGTATATATATACATACATACATATGCATATGTATATGTATATATATATATATATGTTTGTATTTTGTATTTTCTGTATATATATTTTTTTTTGTTTTTTTTTTTTTATTTTTATTTTTTTATGTTTGTGTTTATTTCATATTAAGTTTTATAATTTCGTTTTAGATATCGATCGTACTTAATTTGTATAGTATATTTAGCATTTAGTTAATATAATTCTGCCTCTCCTTCATTCTCTTTTGTCGTGGGTGAAATGTTTTTTTTCTTTGTTTGTTTTTTTTTTTGATTTAATTTTTTTTCTTGTTTATTTTTGCTTTTCTTCTTCTGCTTCGTTTGAAGTACTTTTTAAATTTAATTGTTTACTTAAAATTACAGCCTTTATAAATAATTATTTTTTCATGCCTTGCCAGAGGCTAATCTCTGCATTTGCACTGCTTCTTCTTCTCCACCTACTTCTTCATTTCTATTTTTTTTAAATATGCATTTGCTTTATACTTCATATTTCGCTTGACATTGTACTACGTATCCACTTTTCTTTTATATTTCTTTTACTTTGTAATTTTTCTATATATATAGAATTTTTTTGTTTGGATTTTTGAATAATTTGCACACATGTATACATATTTATATATACATATATAATAGTTATCTAAATATATATTCATATAGATTTCTTCGACAATTTCAGTTGGGCTGTTTTTTTTTATTCATTTTTTATTTATTTTTTGTTGTTGTGTTGTGTAGTGTAGTTGCTTAAATACCCGCTCACAAAGTGAATATGGCGTATATTGGTTTAATATATTTTTTTTTGCACACGGAAGTTTTTGTAGTTGTACACATTAAAACCCACGAAAAAGTGTTTGTTTTTATTTTTTTCTTCTTTGGTTTCTGATGCTTGGAATATGTTTTTATTTTTATTTTTAAATATTTTTATTAATTTTTATTTTTTACCTAACTCAATTCACACATTGAAAACAGTTTTATCGTTTATCTCAAAAGAGAAAAATATATATTAATTATTATCTTTAATATTTCTTTTTGTTTTTTTTTTTTTTGTTTTTGTTTTTGTTTTTGATTAAAAAATATTGCAGCTCCAAATTGTAATACTTCGTTTATCATAATTGTTATTATGAATATTTATTTTAATATTTTGTATATTCTTTTAGACAGCTGTACTTGAAGCTAGCATAGAATAGAGTAGATCTCGATCTATATGCCTCTCCAGAAACTGCTTTCATTATACCCCCAATGCAAGCTAAACCAATTCCATTCTATGCCAGTTGATTAAGATATACATATATATCTATGTATATCCAGATATATTCAGTTTGTTAAAACATGAATCTTGATCTGTGTTTTATTTTGTTATTGTATTTTGTAAGTGTGTCTTGGGTTTCTTGTATTTCTCATATGTATTACGTATTGGATGTATTTGTATACATATATGTATGTTTATTCATATATATATATATATATATATATATATATATTATGTAGTTTGTAGTTGTATCTCTTGTATATATAGACTCTTATCGTGTGGTAAATTTTTAGCTAGCGCTTGTTTTTGTCATACGGAAGAATTTGGATACATTTCAATATCTATTTTCTTATTATTTTTCTTTTTTATTTTTCTTTTTTTTTTTAATTTTTTTAAATATTTTGGTTTTTGACTGTGTTTGTAGCTAAAAGTTATAATTTGTCTAGAAGTTTTTGCTTACAGTTTTGTTTTTGCTAATCTTTGATATTATTTTTTGTATGCATAGTTGTAACTGGGCATATGTGTCTGTGTGTGTGTGTGTGTATCTTCTGCTAATTATCTAATTTTGTTTAATATTGTTTTCATTACGCAAATTTGCTTCAGCATTTGTCTAAGTTTTGTAACAACAAAAATATTCGCTTTGATATTTATGAAAATTATTATTTTGTTGATCATATTAATTTATAATTCGTCAGCAGAAGGCTAAATCCCAATAAACTTTAAATATTAACTCAATGATAATTAAGTCTTCACCTTTTATTTTATTTAAAATGAATTTTTCTTTAACTTTTCAGCCGTAAGGAATTAACATTTTGTTTTGAATAAATTAATCCATTAAATATATATATTTTTTAAATTTTATTTGTCAGCAGAAGGCAAAAACTAATTAGCAGAATTGCTTGGGAAGTTCGAAAAATTAAATTATGATTCATTAGAAATTATATTAATTTGTAAGTTAAATACATTAAATTCTTTGATTTTCTTTTATTTTTTTTGTATATTCGACTAAAAATACTCAACAATTTTTTTTCGTTTACTTGAAACCATTTTAGCTACAATTTATATATACATATATATATATGTATATATATATATACATATACTTATACAACACTCAAATTTTCCAGTTGTTTTTCACCATTTGCCATATAATATATGTTTGTTGTAGTTGTTGTTTCTGTGTTGCCTCAAAACTTTGCTACGATATTCTCGAAATTCTCTGGTATATATATGTATATATATATATATATATAAATATATATATATGTACATATGTATGTATGCATTTGTATGTATGTGTATATGAGAAGCAAACTGTCAAAAAATTCGTTTTGCTGACAATAATGATCCAAAAAAGATTTCTTTGTATACCACAAAAAATGAAACATTCTGGGGTTTATTTAAATAGATCCTCTTTCGTTCTCCATCTATTGCTTTCGCTTCCCATTCTCATTAATCTTATCTCTCTTTTATCTATATCTTGCCTTAATGTTCTGGGTTTCTTTTTAATTTCCTTTCTAATTCTTTTTGACCTTTGAGATGTTTGTATGACAACCTATCGGATCTCTTATTTGTTCATTTATCTGTCGGGACATGTGTCTATTATAAGAGGAATATCTTGTCTTTTCTCTTACATATTTTTTCTATTGTCCTCTCAGACAAGTCAATTTCTTCTTTATTTCCTCTATATTTGACTATTTCCTTTTCCCCTAGCTCATTCTCCAGCTCTCTCTATCTCCCTGCTGATATCTATTTTATTTTTATAAAAACTGGAGCCTCTGCTGCTGTAATATTTCAACTAAAAACTAAACATTTAATGCGAATATCGAAGCATTTGCTATCTCTCTCTAACCGCTTACGTAATGCACCTGTGTGTGGTTTATTTATTTATTTTTTTTTAACTACTCTTTGATCTATACTCAAAACTATTTCTTGTAGAGTTCGTTGCACGTTTATTGTAATTTTTCGTGGGGGAAGCTACGTCAGACTCTATAGAATCGCTGCTTTGCCCTAACCTCAATTTTGGGTATGTGTGTGTGTGAGTGTAATTTAATCACATTTTCCTCTGCGTATGCGTGTTTTTTACTACCATATAATATTGCTCTATAAATTATTATTTATTATATTCGATATTTTTTCTTTTTCTTTTTGTATTTTTATGCTGCCCAGTTTGTTTTTTATAATTATATATTTTTTTTTTAAATAATTTTTTATTTGCTGACTAATAAGTACAATATCATAAAAATAACACTGTATATTTTTTCTTGTAAATATAAATATATAATATAATTATATATGTATATATATGCATATGCATATATATATATCAGGTTTTCCGTTAATTAATTACAAATATAATATATATTAATATATATATGTATATATAACCATATATAAAACACGCACAAAAAACTGAATTGCAAAATGAAGATTTACTCAATTCTCGTACCAGAAACCCAATCGCACCTATTCAGCTGCCCAGTGGTGTCACATTTGGTTTGCCAGTGTGCGTGCGGCGTTTGGGGAAAATTCGTAAAACACCTTTTTGGGTTGTTTGTTGTTAAATTTCGTTTTGTTTTTAGTTAAATTTTTTTGTTTAGCGTCAGTCTTGTGTAAATTAAATTTTACTTCAAAAACGTTTTAATGCACACACACGCACGCACGCACACACATAGGCATAGGCAAAGCAATGGGGCGAGTCTATTCAGGGGTTTCTTTTAGCTAGCCACAGTTTTGCGATCGTATAAAAAATGCTGCTTCTCAACATATATATGCATATACATATACATATATATATACCTATATATTTTATAAAATGTATATACATATACATAATATAAGGTTTATATTCAATTCACACGTAGATGTTTTTCTTTAAAAATGCATTTTCTTATGTCAAAAAACGATTTTTCGAATTACTTTTAATATAAATATTTGTTGTTTAGACGCCATCGAGATATTGTTCTTGTACATTCATATATATATGTATATATATTTATCTAAATATATGTGTATGTGTATTTTAAGTACTTATTTAGTTTTAGAGATATCTGTATTTATTTGTTGGCCCGTAGGCCGCACGGGAAGAGTTTTTCTAGAGACAAAAGTGTTTAGAGGCAAATCAAATTTAATTGAGCTACATTTAGATTATATAGAGGCTGATTTTCATATATAAATATATGTATATGTATATATACTAAAGGCGTCCGACTGCATTGATATACCCTTGAAGAGAGAGTGTCTAGAAATTGATATGATAACTCATACAAGTTGTTCATATAACTATATATGTTCTATGCAAACCCAGATCGAATTAATGTGGTCACTGTTAGTGTGAGGAAGGAGAGATTATCATATATGTACTATTTGAACTCAGCTCTGGCTTATGTTTTTTAGCTGAAGATTGGCCTAGGATTAGTTGATAAATATAGCTGCCACATATATTAATATCATCCACATCAACAGTTATATATGTGTGTTCTATGCGATCTAGTTGAAAGGTGATATCGAATGACTTCTTATATGAAGATGTAATATATTATGTGTTTTCTATGAATTTTCCATATGAACTCAGCTATGGATCATCCAGATCTAGCTGATAGTTTCTATAGAGTCGGCTAATATATAGAGCACTAAAATATTTCAATATCAGCTCAGCTCAAAGCTCTATGAATTTTTACATCTTCATTTTGTACATAATCTCTCAGCTATTAATTCGATTCCCCTAACAGTGAATCAGTATATATGTATATGTATATATAGCTATATAAACTATCTAAATAGTATTGTAACTAATTTTACTATAACATGGAGCTCTTCCAGGGTATTCAAGCTTCGGCAGCCCGAAGTTTAATCATATTTTAGAGCTAATTTGACACAACCGTTTATATAATTCAACTATTCGTATATGATTCATTCGAATCCATATAGTTTTGCCCACTCTCAAATCAAAAATCGAAAAAGATTCGTTGCACGTATTTATATTTTTGCTTTTGCGTTTGTAGAATTTCACATCGCCGCAACCCGAAAGTATGCTATGAAAAATTTACTTGCTATGAAATGCGTATACGCCGTGTTGTTCATGTGTGTGTAGAAATCATATGGAATATGAAACATAAAAACCAAAAGAGAATATAACACAGATATAATTTTTTTTTTGTTTCGGGCTCTCATTTATTTGTTTTGACAATTGTTAATTGTGGGTTAACTTTCAAAATTTAGAAAAAACTTCTATACAATATATACATACACGGAAATGGCAACGAATTTAGTACATAATCTAAGCCAAAACAATTGGAATGATAAAAATAGGCTTGTCAATATTATAGACAGAGTGAAATACATGTAGAAGAAACGTATAAAATTTTGCAAACTGCTTGAGTGGTGGCCAAATTTTTAAAAGGCAATTAATGTGATCGACTTTCATTTAGAATCTTTCATTATTTATAGAAGAACTACGAAATCGGAACGCCAAATTATTGAACCCGAAACCAATTAGATTCGATATTTATACTTCTCTCTGATTCTATACACGAACTAACTCGATATAGATTCGATTCGCCTGGGTTTGGGCTACAGTTGAAGCAAAAAGAAGGAGCACATAAGCTATATAGCACGACCTGAGAAGAGAGTCGAGGTTATGGATTATTGCTATTTTTTTTTTAACGGGGTGTCTTCTTGTGTTACATATATATAGATTTATATATATGCATCGTGAAAATCGTGTTTTCTTGAAGAATTCCTGAAGAAGTTTGGATATGCTTTTATCTCTCTTATCTCTCGTTATTTCCCTCATTCTCCTGCCTGTCGATTTAACTGAGGCTTAACATTTCCTATTCTCGTTCTCTCTATGCGACAATGCGGGAAACGAAGTAGCGACCTGCTGCTACTCTGCCTATTAAGGGTCCTAATGGTCCTAGTGCTCAATTCAACGACTGCTGTTAGTCTCTGGTTGTTCTTGTGGTTGTGCTTGTTGTTTTTAGATGTTGCTGTTGCAACGTATCTGCAGCCCATTGGAAACACTGGATTGGCAACGAAATGAACAGAACAATAGTAACGAAAATAAAGGGAAACAATTAAACAATTTGAACTCGGAAACAAAATAAACGAAAAAATTATGAAACTAATTTGCAAGTGTGTGTGGATGAGCTGTGTCGTGTTGTGACTGTGTGTTGTGTATGTGAGAGAGAGTGAGCACCAACAATGCTGCATAAATGATTCTCTTTTCTTATTGGTTGCCGCTGCCTTTGCTGCTGTAGTTGTTGCTGTTCCTCTCATCTTCGTTTGATACACTCATTCTTAGCTATTCCAGCCGTAGCACTGCATCCATCTCGCTTGCTCGCATGCGCATCGGTGTTCTTTTCTTGACTTGATCTTTTACAGCTACTTCTCAACTACAGCGTGTGCTTTTGTTCTTGCATTCACTTTCGTATTTACTTTCGCATTCGCTTTTGCTTCTGCCTTCACGTTCGGTTATAGCACATTGCATTTGCACTTCATTTCTTCCATTTGTCTTCTTCATTTCTCCAGTTGCAGCGCTGCTGGTGCTTCTGCTGCTGCTGTGTCTGTGTGTGGATGTGGGTGTGTGTATTCAGTATGGCTGTGTGTATTGATTTGCTTTGGTTAGACTAGAGGGAGACCCGCATTGAGTTCGACTACATGGACATGCGCCAATTCGTCACAGAGATGTTGTTTTTGCTGTTGTTGCGGTTGTTGTTGTTGGTGCCATCGTCAAACTCCCAAGCGCCGTGTGGCGGCGCATGATGCGGCATCGGTGGCTGAGTTTCTAACGGAAAATTAAAATGGATCTTTGGAATCGGGAATGAATCAGATTTATGCGGGCAAACGCAATATGCAAAAGCAAATAGCAAGAAACGATCAAATTTTACAACTAAAAAGCAAATAAGAAAAAACTAAATAATAAATAAATAAAAAGAATTTGTTCTAGTGTTTTTTATGCATCTTTTTTTTTGCTAAAATTATTTAAGTAGCTGTTGCTTTATTGTTTTCATTTTGCCTTTTTTTTACGTACGATACCCTGAACTTATTATGGAAGATCCCTTGCAAAGGATATTTTTTCCTTATATGGTATAATAATCGGATCAATTTGGTATATACGCCGCTACCATATAATTTCGAATATTACTAAACCTGAAGGCATTTCCACAATTTCAGGGTATCTGCTAGTCGGGCATTGCCGATTAGAGCATTCTTAGTTCTCTTTTTAGTTTTATTTGCTGTATTTCTGTGTGTGTTTGTCTTATACATGTTTAATAATTGTGATGATCATATATATATTATATATATTTATATATAATTATTACAGTTTTTCCATTTAATTGCTGTACTTTTATTTAGGTAGGTTGTTACTTACGATACTAAAAAAACGTTGCTCCTAACTTGAGCCGCACTTTAATCAGTTGATTTTTGCTTTAAAATATATGTATATATAATATTTGTTTTAGTATTTTTCTTGTTTTTACCTAATTGTACAGTTTATGCCTTTTGCTATGATATATATGTATATATACTTTTTCAGTTTTGACTAATTTCTTTTTTTTTTAAGTTTTTTTTTTTTATGGTACATATATATACATATATATATGTATATATATATTTAATATGCTTTGTATGTACGTTATAAATATTCACATATATATATATGCATATATAAACTTAATAATTTTTTCTTTTTGTTTTTTATTTTTATTTTTTTGACGATGGGACACAATCTGCTTTACTGCTCTTCGAAAACTTAAGAACCTCTCCGATCTCCGAACCCACAATCGAGCGAGAGTCAGACAATAAAAATTGAGTTACAAACTTTTTTTGTTTTTGTTTTGTATGTCAGCAAAAATGTTCAAATATATATAATTGTATATATATATGTATATATATTTCTTCTTTTTGTTTTTTAAACCTAAACAATTTATTTATGAATTTTTTTTGTTTGTTTTCTTTTTTTCAAAATATCACGTATATATCTTAAGTTATGCCTTGGATTTATTAGTTGCTGTGTGGGTGTGTGTGTGTGTGTGTATGTATGTATATGTTATGTTAGGCATTTTTCAGGCCATGTAGACTGTACCTCAATTTCATAACTAAAGAGAAACGAAACGTTTGACTTGGGCTTAAGTAAGTATGCCTTATGTGTATATGTATGTGTGTATGTGTGTGTGTATGGGGCTTATATATTGGTGGTTGTAGTTTTCAACTAGAGCATATCAATTATTGCTTTTATTTTCGTATGTTTTTGTGTTTCTTTTTTTCTTTTCTAATTATTGTTACGATTCGATTTTAAAAAATTTGTCAATAAGTTTTTATTTTTATTAACTATGCAACAATTGAGTTTTTTAAATAGCTTTTTTAAACGTTACAAATTTGTCAACAAGTGAAGTGTAAGGCGCAGCGGCGTAGGCGGCAGAAAAAATATAAGGGGCGTGGCTAACTGCTTGCATATGCAGGTCATTTTTGTGAAACCATTTGGTTCGATCTTTAAATTTGATACATATAAAATATATATATATATATATGTACATATATATAGTACTTGTATAGTGGGCAAATAATTTAATAATAATTAAATATTTTCTGGTATTTTTTTCAGCTTAATTTTGCACCAATTGTTGAATTCTTTTTTGATCGCCGCCTTTGCCTTTTGCTCTTTGCCTTTTTAAGTATTTTTTTAAACTTAGGTTTTTAGGCCAAGTTCTAACAATAAGAGTTACGTGTAACAAAAAATGGTTTTCGCGTCATACAAATGATAAACAAAGGCGAATGATGGAGAGAGTTTACTCCTTTTCATTCACATTTTCACGCTTAGGTAATTATTCAGTATTTTTGCTTATTTTTTTATTATGCATGGTATTTTAGCACACACTTATTGAGTGTCTATGTATTGCTTTAGTTTATATATATGTATATATTTTTTTATTATTATTATTATTTTTTTTTTTTTGAATAGTCTCGCTATGTACTAGGCATTATATATATATATGTATATGGTATATTTTGTATATACTTTTTTGTTTATAGCTTTTTTGAATATCTTTATTGTATAGGTTTATTTTTCATTTACTTAAGTTCTAGTATTTTTTGCCATCTTTTTTTTTTATAGTATTTTTAATTCGTTTTAACTTCAGTTTTGTGTTTAGCTTTCGTTAAGACTACAATTTCGTTCAGTTTACCGTACTTTTTGCTTGGCTTACAAATATACTATTTAACTTAGGCTTTGTATGTGTATGTATATGTTTCATATATATAGATATATATGTATATTAGTATGGGTGTATGTGTGTGTGTGTGTTAGCTTGCGCGCATGCTTTGTGCGGCAGTTTTTTTTTTGTTTTTTGCTTAGTTTTTCTGCATATAACAGTTACATTTATGCGTTCATATATATATATACGTATGTGTGTGTGTGCGTGTGTATTTTATATAAATTAATATTTATGCATAATTTATGTCTTTAACTTTCGTTTCACTGCTGCTGCTGCTCGCCGCTCCACTGCTATTCGCTTTCTCACTCTAACATGTATTGCCTTGCTTCAAATAAATAATATACTAGCTGACTTAACTTGCTACTCTCTTATATGTGAGCCAAACTGTGTCTGTGTGTGTGTGTATTATTTCTGCTAAATAAGCCAAAAATTATATTTCTACATATATCAAAATTATTACATCGGTACATTTCTGTCTTTCATTTGCCAGCTGCAGCAGCCTTGCATTTCCCCTCAAAAAACTAACCATACCCCCCTCCTGTCATCTCTTTCCCACCTCCGCTAATTGCACAAATGTTTGCCGACTGCAATACAGTCGAAGCTTCTCGCTCTTCCCGTCCTGCTCAAACGCCATGCCACTGCGTGCGCCCTCTGTTGCCTGTTTCTACAACTGAAAACGTAAGCTGCTTATGTTACAGCACTGAGAGTTTGTATTTGCGTGTGCGTGTGTGTGTGTGTGTGATTTCCAACTATGCGTATGTATTCGTATTTATGTAGGTATACATATGTATTTGTATTTATGTATCTATAGAAAATGTTGCTACAAATTGATTAATATTATTTTTAAGCAGCTGCTGCAGCTTATATAAATTCTATTAATGCTTTGTTGTTGTTGCTATTGTTGTTGTAGTAAGTAGCTTCAGTAATTTATTGTTGTTGTGGTTGTTGTAGTTGGTTGTTGTTGCTGTTGTAGTTATTGCTGCATCCTCAAAAGTTAACATGGATAAATGCCTACAAGAAAACAGTCGAAGAAACATTTGTTTGTTTGCATACAATTCCAAACACAATACAACTACAGAGGCTGAGTATGTACGTGTGCGTATGTGTGTGCGCTCTCACTACTACATGTATACATTAGTTATTTAGCTACGCATATGCACAGGCAATAAAATAAAATTGAAATTAAAAAAAAAAAGAAAAGAAAATGGCGTTTAAAATAATTCTTCTAGATATTTTGTTGTTTGCACCAGCTGTGGGTGGGCGTGGCATTTAACTAATAATTTACGCCTAGAGCGTATGTGTGTATGTGTGTTAAATTATAATTATATAAACTAAATTCATTTAGCAATTAAAATTAAACTAATTTTTGTTTTTTTTTTTGTTGTGCGGCTGCGGTGGGGGTGGTTGGGGAGAGTAGCTGCTGTGGATGTTGTTGTTGTTCTTGTAGCTGTAGTTGATGCATCTGCTGTTGCTGTTTGTTGTTGTTGTTGTTGTAGTAGTAGTTGTTGTTGCACGGGCAGCGATTACGAAAATTTGTTGTTGTTGTTGTTGTTGTTGTAGTTGTTCTAGCTGTTGTTCTGGTTGTTGTTCTAGTTGTTCTTGTTGTTGTTGTATGATTTAACCTTTTAACGTTCGTTGAGTGGTTGTGCAGCAAGAACCGAAAGCAAGAAAGAAAGAAAGAACAAAAATAAAGCGTATAAAAAGAGAAATAGAGAGAGAGAGAATATGTGTTGTGTGGTATTAAAAAAAACTACAGCAAATATACGATATATTTATATATACAGATATATATTTATGCGAAATATAGTTATATGAGAGAGCAAGCAGATTATGGTGGGAGAGAGAAGGATATAGTGTGTCAGATAGAAGACAAAGAGGCGACTAAACGAAAGCACGCTAGGTAGCCAGAGATAGATAGAGATAGAGAGAGGGATGATATTTACCTTGATAATTCTGAGGCCAAATGGTGGGTACATTCTGTAAAGAAGAGAGAGAGATATATATACATTAGTTTATGCAAATGAAGTAAATGCATAACTGAGGGTAAGGATGACTAGATCATAACTCATCTGGAGTGCTAACTCTTGGTATAAGGTACTGACAGGATATCACTAATTTCTTTCTGTCTGTGTAAAATATAATTTTTAGAGATAGACATATTACATATATCCATATTTAATAATATATTCCTATTCAATTTCGAATGTCTACTATGCTTTTTATTATACTAGATTCAACTTTATGTAATATACATATGAATTAATTTATCATACCTGGAATAAATCATATATTTACTACTACTAAAGTCACCCCAATAGATGTTAGAATTTTTATTATTGATTTACTTACCATTGGCACGCTGTAGTACTGATAGAATGGCTGATATTGCATGGCTGAAGGTGGGTAGATGGCTGGCACTCCAGCGGCTGTAAAGTCAGTAACTAGTTTTGGTTAATTTGTCCAGCGTTACATAGATTGTTGTGTGTTGTTGTTGTTGTTGATTGGTTGTTGTTGGTTGTTGTAGAGAAGAGAAGAGTATAAATGGAATACAAAAAAAAAAAAAAAAAAAAAAAATCAAAGAAAATATTTCAACCCAAAGTACATGGAATATTCAACAAAAGCCACACAATGCTTTGATTTTGGATTTAGAGCTTGCAATTGATTTTTGAAACTCACCTGGCGGATAGACGGCAGCTGCAAACTGATCCATGGGTATATTGCTAATCGGTGCCGGCGGCGTGGTGGTATAGTAAACGGCTCCATTGGTGGCCACAATTGACTGCAGCGGGTTCGGCTAGATGGAATTTCAATTCAATTATTATGCAAACTTTTGGGGGATATATGCATACAGTGGTGGCCAAAATAAAAGGCTATGACAGTCGTGTACTTTCACTCACTATTATCATACATTAATAGAATGTATAGCCGTTGCTATAAGGCAATGTCTGGCACTGGCACTGTTATTTTGACCACCACTGTATGATTGTTGTTAGCTTAGAGACTCACCTGCTTCTTGATGGCCGGCGCGATGTTCAGCTTGCGATCGCGCAGCACCACACACTCGCCCTGATTGGACAGAGAGAGACAGAGCGCGCGTGTGTGTGCCGGAGAGTGTGTGTGTGAGAGAGAGAAAGAAAGCCAGCGAATGGAAGAGAGACAAAGAGACAAAAAGCAAATGTAATAAAATGCATTAGAAAATATTTTACTAAAAATTCTTTAGATTGTGGCAAGAACTTGTTGTGTGTGTGTGTGTGTGTATGTCTGTGTGTGTACTATGTGTTTGTGTCTCTCTGTGTGTGTGTGTGTGTGTGGGGGCATCGTCAACAGACAAGCCAGAACGAAATTCAAATTTCAAAATCAAATTCAAATCGAACGCAGCAGCAGCAGCACGAAAAATGTAGAGAAAATTTAAGAATTTTTCTTTTTTTTTTTTTTTTGTTTTGTTTTTTCTTTTGGCAGTGGCAGAGAGCCCAAAAAATGTGGCCACAAGATTTGCAGAAAAACACGTGCCAAGCCGCAAAACGAAAAGAATGGATTATCAAAATATTATTTAAATAATATATATATATATATATATATATATATATATATATATATATATATATATATATATATATATATATATATATATATATATATATATATATTGTATATATATATATATGTATGTATACATATCAACTTCAGATAGTATATAGAGTGTGTGTATAGTATTATTACAAAATGTCATGTACTGCAATTCGTATTGGAATTTGCTTGAAATGAAAGATGTTTCTTTGTTCTTAAAACACAACGTAAAAAACAAACTAAAGGTACATATATAAATATATCAAATATATTCATATACATGTATGTGTGTGTATATATAAAGCGTTTCGATTCAAGCTTTCAGTTTTTGGTTTCTTTTCAATCAAAGTATTTATATGCCAATTGGCAGCACCCGCAATATTCAATTCAATTCAAATTAACAGCTATTATCATAAATGTTTAAAATGTACGAACGCCAACACCAAACTTAAAGGTCCAACAAATGTACAGTTAGAACACAAGTTACTTCCAAATAAACTAACCTCAAAATATGACAAATGATTGCGTTTTGTGAGTTAGTTAAAGAGATCTCGGTTTTTACACACCAAAAATGGAACCAAGCTTAGAGTTGCACCTGATTTTGCTAAATTGGCCACAGAAATCCGTATGAATATGAATGAAGTCTATAAAAACCACATACATTTCACGATAGGGTTGCCACCCCAATTGTAAGACGCGTCTTTTGGACTGACTAGTTGGAATTACTAATTAAAAACAGAGTATTGTTTTGAAAAGTAATTTATTTGCCATTTGTGCGTTGCCACCTAGTTCATTATCAGAGTTGCCAATCAGCATATGCAACTAATAGTGTTGCCAGGGTAGTAAATAATTATTTTTATGCTCTTTACGGAGTTGATACCTGACTATAAGAAGGATGGGTAGGTAGGTATAAGGATATGCTTCTTCTCGTTTCACAATTACTTAGTATAATACAAGGCTAGTTAAAGTAATTTAATATCATAGATAGGGTTCAAAAGGTTTTCGCACTGAAGAGGCGGAGAAATACTATTCTTTTACTTTCCTACAAAGAAACAGGCTCTTTTGTTGTATTAGTTGAACGAAAGAAAAGACTAATCTAAAGTCTCTTTCATCTGCCATTATAGTCACCCTCCACTGTAGATGTCGCTTTCATATGCCATTAAATTTCATTCTTTAGCTATTGATAAGCCCGTCTGGCCATTGTAATGGGCCTCCACTGTACCTGTCTGTTGCCGGCTGTCAGTTGCGGTTGGTTACATGGGTCAGGTTTATCTTTAATTGCCAATTAGGCGCTGATAGCCGCAGCAATTTGCACTTGAAATGCATGAAAGGCCATCATAATGGGCGCACCACGCACTTCAAGCGCCGCCCGCGCACCAGCGAGCGGCTGGCTCGACCACATTCGCTTGGCGGGTGGGTGGGCGGTTGGGCCGAGCAGATCCTAAGCAAATGTTTGCTCTCTTCTTAAAGTTCTTGCAGCGACGGACTTGTGCCGCCTCAAATTTTTTATTCATTTGTGCGTTTCGAGTCTCGAGACTCGAGTCTGCTGTATCCTTCTTTGACCGCCGCTGGGCAAACACACAGAGAGAAATAGAGGGAGAGAGTGAGAGAGAGAGTGGGAGTGGGGGAGAGGGGGAGAGGCTGGGGCGGAGAGAGCAGCGACGTCTTTTCATTTGAGCACCATCATAAAGGACGTCAGCAAGGATAAGCGCTGCGCAACACAAAAGGCCGACCCACACACACACACACACACACATACACACCGTTGAATAATAAAAATGAGAAAAGGCTAAGGCAAAGGCAAAAGAGTTGGCCGCAGCAGCAGCAGCAGGACGACCCACTTTTGTCTTGGACGAATTTAATTAAGAACCCTCAAAACGAGCCTCAAATGCGGGGGGGCGGCTGCTCCTTTGTTGCCAACACACACACACACACACGCCCATACAAAAAGGACAACAGCAGACGTTTTACTGGTCCATTTATAAAGTGTGGCAAACAGCAAATTGAAGCCCCCACTACTACCTCTCTATGATGATCGGTCATATATATTTTATATATATATGTAGTATATATATATATATTAATATAATCCTATTTACATTTAAAAAAAAAAAAACGCTTTCCATCAAAAAGTTACAATTCAATTTTTTCATTTGCCTCTTGAAGTGGGAAAAGGTCGTTGAAAAGGTCCAAGTGTGTGTACTTAAGTGTGTGTTTGACGTTATGGGTGCGTGTGTATGTGTATTGGGTATATGCGTATGTGCATGTGTGTGTATGTACGTCAAGTTTGTTTATTGATGCGTGTAGTTCTTATTTAATCTTTCAATTATTGCTTCCTTCCATTTCATATGCTTTCAACGTGTGCTGAATTCGCATCTGAAACTAAACTCGAATGATCTATTGGGATTACTAATTAGCTGCTCAGCATCCTGCCTAAATCTCGTCAAATCTTTTTTAATTTCTGAATCAAGTGAAGATTGAATCTTAGCTCAAATTTAATGTAGTTTCTGCTTTGAATTCATATTCATGGCTTCAATTCGTTATGTTCTGATTGAAAGATAGAATAGACTAGACCTCCAGTATATAACTCACATAGATGTATAGCTTTTTTAATTTCTTAAGTTCCTCTTCTATTTTCCGATTTCAATTGAGATCGATTATTCCTGCTTTCTAGACTAAATTTAGGTTACGTTTTTAACAGCTTATAGTAGAGTTTTCAATATATTATTTTTGTTTAACATATGCTATATCGATATCGAATGCCAGCCTGTGTTATTACGATTCAATTCCCAAGAATTTCGTGTGTTTATTACACCTTTGTTATAGTTTCTCTACAAATTGATGTATTTAATGGGCTATCCAAAACATTTAGCAAATGTCAAGGGAACAATGAGGCGTGTGTATGTGTGTGTGTGTGTGTGTGTGATGAGAGTGTGAAAGAGTATATTTGTAATGTTAGCTGTTGGGTATATATGTCAGGAGACCAGGGTAAACTCTATTTGGGGGAACTGCTATAGGCTAGACTTGAACAGAAAATTTTGGTTAAACAAAATTTAATTAGTGCAAAATGTAAGCATGTGTGGGTGCATGTATATATAGATGCATGTGTGTGTGTGTGTGAGTCTGAGTGGTTTGCTAGGTTGGTTTGGCTGGTTGGTGTTGTTTCGCATTAAAACCTCGTTAAACGTTGCCACGGCTGGCTGGTTGGCTGGTTGGCAGGGCTCCATTGTTATTTAGCCTAAGGAGATGGGCGTTTAGTGAGTGTGGGCATGGCATCCATATAAGTAGACAAGGACAAGCGCACACATATTCAGAGAGCTGTGTGTGTGTAAGTGTGTTTGTGTTACACTGAAAATGTGCAAAGCGCCAGCAGCGCAATAACAATGCACATTTAATGACAAGTGGAAAACTTTTTCACTTAATGTATGCCACACACACACATACACACACACATACAGAGTGGAAACACAAAAGAAGATATAAAAGGGATGCACAAAGGGGCAGAGGGAGAGGAGCCGAGAGCAGGCGTTGGGGCAGAAATTTAGCTGCTGGCAGCTGCTGCTGAGGTTGTTATGCAACACGCTCTAATCAAAATGCAATACGATTTCTAATAAGGCTTTCGCGCTATGACAGCGAGAAAAGAAGCTTAACTTTATTTAGGAACTAGACCTGGGGAAGCCAGAGGGAGAGGGAAGAGTAAGAGTATAGCAAGGGAAGAGGTAGGAAAGAACAAGGTAAAAGTGCCTCTCTCTCTCTCTCTTTATGCAACTGCGAGAATCAGACAATAGCTTGGCTATATTTAGGAACTAGCCTTGGAAGAGGGAGAGACGAGCGGAGGTAAGAGGAATGGTAGAGAGGAAAAAAGTAAAAGGAGGCTAACAAAGGTATTTCTCGTGGGTTTATTGGAAAATTTGTTGGTCGATTAGTTTCCTTCTGGGACAATAGCTTGAACTAGACTTAGTAAAGATGGAGCAAGAGCAAGGGTCGGACTGGGAGGTGAGATGGCTGACAGAGGGTGTTACCTACTACTCGGTTGGTTCTCTTTCTGTCTATAAATATATTTATGAAGCAGATCAAAGCGCACATAAGCTTGACTATATAAAGAAACTCGACTTGAAGATGAAGAGGCTACATGAAAGTGAAAGTGGGAAATATTATAGGGGGCAAGAGGTTTTTAAATAGGGGCAAAGGTAAGTGTAGGAAGAAGTGTCGCGACTTAATAAGGCGCGCTCTGAAACCGACAAGGTATATATAAGGAGAACTGGGGGATGAGTAATACCAGGTAAATGAAGAGCGCACAGACTGTGTGGGTTTTATTAGAGGGTTCAATCTATTCTCAATAAAGCTGAGAGAATATTTGACTATATTGGGGAGCCTGGAAAGCGATGAGGGTGTTGGAGAAGGGCATTATCACCCTCTCGCTCTCTCTCTTTCTCTGTGAATAGGGTTATGCAGCAGGTAATCCAGCTATAGATATTCGCCACACGTGTAGCGGCTAACGCTAATGATGACAAGCTGCCACGCCCCTGCCCACAGTCCACACAATGATAATTAGTATACAAAATATCGCAAAATAAAAATGATTCAAGTTTCGTATCAAATTGTACAGCAGAATGAAATAAATAATGCACTAGGGTCTAGAGCTTCATATACAATGTATATACATATATATAGAAAAAGATCTAGATATATATGAGGTCTACGCTATATACGCATTTACACTATATAAACAAGACCGAGGCGTGGGCAATTAGCTAATTTGATTAATTTGCGCATAGTAAAAGTTAACAGAGAGAATACAATTAAATGATAAAAGAAAAAGAAATTAGAACAGGTGCACAACGCAACGCCAAACGCAACTTGATTGTTATCGATAGCACAGGTATCGATAGCAAATAAATATCAACGGGACAGCCGTCGAGCTAACGAGCCAACAAATGCAATTCGATTCACTAAAACTATGTTAAGTGTACAGGTGTGTGTGTATTTGGTTGTGTGTGTGTGTGTTTGTGATGAATTTGTAATATAATGTAATGTAACGTAACGTAACGTAACGCAACGGAAACGTAACTCGTAAACGTAACTCAACAAAAACGCAATTAGAAGAAAAATACAAGTAAAATACATAAGAGAATTACAAGTGCCGTTACTCGTACCGTCGATCGATACACACAATCGATATATCGAATAAACGATAAATATTCGTTCACACGCTGGTTGCGACGTCGCTGTCTGTGGGTCAGCTAATGCCCTAAAAGATTCGGAGGCACATTATAACTTTTTTTTGTAGTTTGGTTTGATTTATTTATTTTTTTTTTTTGCAGCTGTTCGAGTGAGAGCGAGTTTAAAATATATATGTGTTTGAGTGTGTATGTAGGTATGTGTGTGTGTGTGTGGTGGGTGTGAATATTTCTCGATAAATCATAAATCGATAAACACAAGCGACATTAGCAAAAGTGCATAGAAGAGTGCAGTAGTTAATGTTCATTTTCGACTTACGTCCGCTTGCAGTCTTTGCGCCTCCTGCTCCGTCTCGAATGTGACGAATCCATAGCCTTTACTGACGCCGGCACGATCCACGATGATCTTTGTGCTCTTTACGGTGCCGTAGGCGCTAAAGACGCGCGTCAGATCCGCCTCGGTGGTGTCCCCACTGTAATGGGGAAAAATAATTGATTAGAGTTCCAATCATGCATATGGTATGTTGTTGTTGTTGGTATTTTTAAAGCATTTTTATATTTATGGTATTTTTAGTATTTTGTCGACATTTTTACTATCGTGGTATATTTGTAGTATTTTATTGGTATTTTTAGCATTTATCGGCATCTTTTTGGTATTTTATTGGTATTTTTAGCATATATCGGCATCTTTTTGGTATTTTATTGGTATTCTTAGTATTTTGTCGGTATTCCATTGCCTACCTTATCGGTATCTTTGGGTATTTGTTTGTATTTTGTCGTTATTTTTTGGTATTTTTAGTATTTTATCGGTATTCCATTGCTTACCTTATGCCGCCCACAAATATGCGATTGGGTATGAGTGTGCCATATTTGGGCGCTGCCAGCGGTGCCTCCAATGCTCCAGCCGGCGCTGTAGCCGCTGTTGGCGCGGCTGCTATTTTGTGCATCTCGGCTGGTGTCGTCTCCAGACGAAAATTGGCACCGAAGGGCAGAATCTTGAAGCTGTTATCGATTAACTCCGGGGGGCAAAATTGTTCCTAATATCTAATATATATATAAATATATATATATATATATATATATATATATAATTATATATATATATATATATATATTTTATATGTAGAGAGAGCAAATAGTTGCTTTCTGTTTCTGCTATTTCCTTATTGCAGAGTTCAGGCTCTACTTGTGCGCCGTCTGCTGCTGCTGCTGCTTCGCTTTTCTAGTCTAACACGCATTAATGTATCGATATATGTATATTATATGTATATATTTGTATATATATTTATCGACCGTGTCACGTCACATCCAATTCACGCTGCCTTCCAGTTTCCTTTTCTTTTTGCTTTGGCCTTTCCGTATGTGTGCGTTGTTTTTTGAAATGCTAGTTCTATAAGAGAGAAAGAGAGTGGGAGAGAGAGAGAGAGAGAGTTAGTTTTGCTTGTGTGAAAGAGCGCGCTGCTAGAAGCAGACCTAGAGACAGCCTCTTAGCTGCCACTGCCGCTGCTGCTGCTGCTGCTGCTGCTGCTGCTGCCGTTGATCTTCGTCGTCGTCTGTAAAGCAGAACAAAAAAAAATATTGCCCCCTACATTTCGAAATGCATCTATTTTTGGCACACAGCGACGACATATGTCACAAGTGAGACCGAGAGAGAGAGAGAGAGAGAGAGGTGAGACAGAGAGAGAGGTGAGCTAGAGCGAGAGACGCAGACACTCTGCTGAGGTAGCTCGGAGACAATCGAGCGACACATGTGTGCGCCATAAATTCACCTTCAGCAGCAAGCAAATAGCGCAGAGAGTTTAAATTTAACAACAGCAGCAGCAGCAGCAGCAGCAGCAGACGATGAACACAAAGTTGACAACAACAACAACAACAACAACAACAACAACAATTACAACAGCAACAACGAAATGACCAAAATAATGTATTTAGCAATTGCACGGCTACAGTTTACTACTAATACAAATGCAATTTTTCTAGCTGGTTGGTTAATTTGTTGTAGAACTAACTAAATGCAGAGTATTGAAAGCATGTATTGAACGAGGTGTGTTCAAAAATTATCATTGTACAATATTCGCCAACTCTTTAGCCTGCCCTCGCATCAATTGTACTCACTAAAATCACTACCAGCACCAATTATTTTGGCATAAAGATAAGAATATAGACAGCTTTGATTACTCGCGCATCTGACGTGGTTTGTGGCATATATAGATTAGGCTTATGGGCAAGGCTTACGGTTTTACTATTACTCTCAAATGACAAGAAGCGACAGCAGATAATTAGATATGCAGCAAGATTTTATGTAACATAATAATAATCTAATATACGGTTCTCTAGTTCACTTCCTTAAAGCTGAGACTTAGGATCATATTCGTTTCACACATTTCTGAGTTTGTAGTGTATACTTGGTGTTGCTTAAAACCTTATTTAAAATTCCATGAACAAGTCTCATTAAAATATTCCATATTCAAACTTTTATACGTTTTCTGTTGCCAAAATTTTATGTTGCTTTTTTTATGGGTCTATTTCAGATGTGACAAATTGCTTTTCATTTGCCAAGTTCATTGTGCACTTTGCAGTTGTTAATATGAGCTTCTCGATAATTCTTGAATGTACGAAGACTTTGGAATACAGAACAGAGTATATAAAGAACAAAGCATATATCAAATAGATCCTAGCATATATACGGCATAGAACATACAGTTAATGGACTGCAGGGTATAGCCGAGAGGGAAACTATATGAATTTTATATTATATTTGATATTTGATATTTGAAATTTGACTAATCCATATACATATCCATATCCATAATATACATATTGACAGATTAGTAGAGTAGATGATCCCTAGTTTCTATACAATTTATTGAAGACTGAATCGACTTATATACATATACCATAGAATTTTTGATATATTATAAGCACTCCATATATTATTTACACACATTCCATACTTAAACTGATTTCTATGTATTGCTATATATTACAGAGCTTAAGTATTTCCAAATATATGTTATTTTAGACCCCAATCAGGCTTCACATCTAATGCTATATCTGATAAGGAGCTCTGCCCTTTTCGTGTCGTGTTTTCTCACCAATTGCCTCTGTTATTTTTAGCTTGTTTCCCACTTGTTACCCATTCCCCTTGGTAAATAGCTAATTAGAGCCCGCCTTTAATATGTTTGCCTAATGCGACAATTTTGTCTAAGCACTGCTTAAAACAAACTGCAACACTTTGGTTTCAGCTGCGCTGCCACGCCCCCTAATAAAACTGGCCCCAAATGCATGAGTACGGTGCTTATCGCCCACAGCAACTACAGTAAACAATCGAAATATATACAAATAATTACAATTTCATTAACAATCAATAAGTATAAATCGATGGCGCTTCGGCGATAAAGGTGTGTGTGTGTGTATGAGTGGATGTCATAGCAGTCTGTGTGTGTGTATCTACACGTGATTATTGCTCACTTATGTGTTTGGTTTCAACTCTCTATAGGCTATAAATCACAGGCAATAAATAACCATAGCATAGATATATAAATACAAGAAAAACTAATTATAAAGATGAGCATAAAGATAGATATATATATTCATATATACTCTATATACATTTATATATACATATATATTTGCTCTCATTAAATCGCGTCACATTTCCAAAGAAAAACAAAAATGAATTTTTCAACTCAAAATTTATTTTTAAACAAAATTAAAAAACAAAATTTGGAAAAGCAAAAGTATATAAAACGAGGGTGGTTCGAAGAAGTAGCCAAACAAATAGAAGAGCGGATTTTTATGGAAATCTATAATATGTAGACTAGAGAACATGAAAAGAAGAGGGAAATGGAATGAGAGAAGTATATAATTTAAAGAATTATTTTATTTAAAAAATATATTAAGTATTTTTGAAACAATTTTTTGAAGTCACCCTCGTTTATATACAATGTATATGTATACCTGTATATTATACATATAATCCCAGATAAGTAATTTCCGCTATAATTTTGTTTCTCTCATAAAAAAAAAACTAGGAAAACTGAAAAGCTTTTCCACTAAGTGCCTGTCCCTCAGACGAGCCGAATTTTTCAACAGCTTAATTTATTTACATTATGAAATGTATGGGCGCTGACGCTGGGCGTGGCAGCAGCAGCAGCGGCAGCGACAGCAGCGAGTCGTTAAATTGTGAGAGCAATTGCATTATTAAAATGCCCATCAAAAATGATGGGCCCTGAAAATTGGCAAAGTCAGCGAAGCGCCGTCGGAGCCGTCGGAGCAGTCGGAGCAGTCAGTCGAGCAGCTTCGAAGCATTCGAAGTTGTAGAGGTCAACCGGAAAAATCACGGGCCAAAACAACATGACAACATGGAACGCCAATCAGCGGAATTTAATCAACAGCAGCCACGACGTCGCCCCCGCCCCTGCCCACGCTCGCTCGCCCACCGACCGCAGCTCACCTGCTGGTCGACATTATATTGCGAAATTCCACGTGCGAAAATTGCACGCGTAATGCCAATGAAAACGAACCACCAAAGAATTTAATAATAAAACACAAAATTACACACAGAGCGGCGAATGCAGCAGCAGCCGTAGCAGCCGCAGCTGGGGAAATTCAGTTAATGGTCAGTTGGGAAAATGCTCTATTAAAGCTATTGATAGCACTATTTAAGTGATTTATCGATAATTTGTATGCTTAAATTCAAAGTGCTTGGATATCGTGGCAATATGATTTGTGAATTGATTTAGCGAAATGTTACTAGGTGTGCTCATTCTATTTACATAAGCTATCGATAACTGGTATCAGAACAATATACTTTTTTTTTTATAGAATTGTACATATATATTTTAATTTATCGATTTCATCTATTGATCCATTATAAATTCATACTACACTATGGTCAGTTGGGAAAATGATCTATTAAAGGTATTGATAGTACTATTTAATTCGATTATCGATAAATAGTATGCTTAAATTCGAAGTGAGCGATATGAATTGATTTAGCGAAATGTTACTAGGTGTGCTCATTCTATTTACATAAGCTATCGATAACTGGTATCAGAACTGTGCGCTCTTCTATAGAATAGCATGCATATATATTGATTTATCGATTCCATCCATAGATGCATTATCATCGATGCAATAAAGGCTATCTACTACACTATGGAAAGTTGAAAAGCTATTAATATTTAAATGATTTATCGATAACTAGTTTCTTTATATTCAAAGTGCTTGAATATTGCTGCGATATGATTTGTTATTTAGCGAACTGTTACTAGATGTGCTCATTCTATTTACATAAGCTATCGATAACTTATACGATATCAATAACAAATTTATATTATTTATCTATAGAACAGCATCCACATCCATATCGATCTGCAACACTTGTCCGATTATTTATTTTCACAGAAATCGATAATTGTATAGCTCGTTTAGAGTAACATTTGCATGGCCAACATTTTTGCAAATGCAATTTGGGTTATTCTGCATTTTGGCCAAGAGCTAATCCTAAAATCCTGTTCTGTTGATGTGCGCTCATTAAAAATGTATTTCACAAAACTGCAAATGGACTTCAGTTAGCACACGCACACACACACACACACACACACACATACACATACATGTATGCAGCACTCATAGTTGTATGCACACCCACAGATACACAAACACAGAGAGCATATTCATGTTGTTAGCCTTCATGCAAGGCATTTTGATTGGCTGCAGGGCAAAAGCAACTGAAACAGAAATCAGATTCAGCCATGCAACAATTCAACAATTCCGGAGAGTTTTTGCTGTTGCCCTCCCAAAAAAAAAAAATGGAAGAGAATGGAACATTCAGGCATTCCGTTTAACGTTTAACTGAAGCGCCAACATGGTATACCCTGTAAATGAGCACATAGTGAAGGAGGTTTGATTGAGGGAAGAATAGGATAATTATAGCGGAAATATTATTTATTGGAATATATTAAATGGTATACAAAGGAGTTTTCTACATTTTTATCGATATATCGATATTTTTATTCTTGCAATAGCCATTTTTTCGATATCGATTAAAATCAATATAATATAGTAATTTGAGCTTTAAAGTGCAGTAACTTAAAACTAAAAGAGAAGATCTGCAGCATAGTAAAGGTACATACTAGTCGAGTGGTTTCTGGGACCTTCTTAGCTTTTTTTTAGCATTCCCTTACTTTAATATGGCTTTTTTTTGGCACAATTCAAGCGCAACTTGGGCAATTAGGGCAATGCAATTAGTAAGTGCCAAACTATTGAAAAACCAGACGGGAGTAAAAAGCAAAAAAAGAGCGAGGAATAAAACAGAGGAAAGGAGGAAAAGAGTAAAAGGCAAGTTTGTAGGGTAGAAAAGCTGGCAGGAGCCGCGCGCAACGT